GTGTTCACAGAGTTAGCTGATTTTTCACACTCTCGCGGAGATTATACCGTCGAATCTATCTTTCCAGTGGCTCTAGATCTTGGTCATTAACATTGATGTCGCTGGCCTACGGAAATTTTCCGGTTTTCTTTAAGGTCGCCAATCTAGAAAAATAGCTTCCAACCTGCTGAGCCGTGAGCCACTCCTCTTTGTCGAACAAGCGTTGGTTAATACCCTCCTCACATAGTGTGCGTATTCGTCTTGAAGCATCAGGCGGAGTCACCTTGCGCCCAGTCTCTTCACCAACAAAAAATAGCTCGAGAAGGAAGTTCTTCCCCTGTTCTGTAAACCTGCTGCACTTCCTTGCCTTGAGGGCCCAGCCGCTAGGCACACCGTTGGAGCTGTTGGCGGTAGAAGTACTGGAGGTTTTGTGGGTCTCTGGTATTTTTGCTTTCAGAGGGGAACATTTCGCCGCCCACTGCCGTCTAATGTAACCGTGCTACGTTTCCCGGTGAAGTTTGTACTTGTGCTTGCCGAAGTCAAGATGGCTGACAACGTAGGGGTTAGAGCGGTAGACTTTAGTACACCCTTCCTCAGGACATGAAAACGAGGCGCTTGCAGTTTCTTCGCAGTTACGTTCCCCCACATCTTTCCCTGATGGTGGTTTTCTCGACCGAGAAGCTGGCTTTTTCAATGCGCCTTTTGCACTGTCTGGTGCGCGAGAAGGCTTAAAAACCTTTATACCTGTCACTTGCTACGTTGACTCTGTTGGAAGAGCCTTTTTCCGAGATCTTACTCCCACACGAAATGAACGCCACACCTTGATTGCGCGCCACACTGAAGCACTGAAGCACTGAAGGTTTATCAGTGTATTGAACATTTTAATTTACTTAAAAGGAGTTATAATCAGAGTTGCTAATGAAGCAGATTTATAAGGAGCTTTGATGAGTTTTCTTTTTTTGCGATTTTAGTGATTTTTCAGGCACGATGCCAAATAAATGTTAGTCGTATGCAAACTATTAGAGTGTTTTCTAGAGAGTTTTTTTTCCTTGAATGAGTGGCCAATGGTGGAATCCTTCCGTTTGCGCAAAGATTTCTGGGATCGATACGGGGCAAACATTGGAACTTGCCAGGGGGTAATGTATGGCGAAAGGTTGTTTCGACGTTCAAATAAACAGTTTTGGAGATAGTTAATCGCTTTTACGTCGCTGTTTTATCAGAAATGGATTAGGTAATTTCACGGCGGATACGAGGGAGGCGCAAGTTTTTGTTTGAATAACCATAAAACACGTAATAAAAACTACCAATAAACTTTCTCCACGCATGTATGTGTAGGGTTTATTGTGAAAGTGAAATCGCATTATCGTCTCAAACTTTTGGAAATTTAGCTATAAAGCACTACTTCTAGCTTGGTATTACAAAAGAGCTCTACAACAGCTATCTCGAGGCAGCAGGAGATTAAAATAGTTGGAGAATACATTATCGTGATACATTAAAATGATTCAGCACTTGCATAAATGATTGCTTATTTGTTGTGATGGATGAGAATGAATCAGTGTTCATGATCGGTTCAGTGATGAGTAGGTACAAATGGGTCGCTTAGCGAGAGGTGCACGGCAGAATGAATTAAATATCCTCAGTTTCTGCCCGAGTTCCCACGATCTTACTGTTCCTGATAAGATCTTATTAGTACTTCGATGAGAAGAGTGGCCGGAGGCTAGAGCCGCTCTCGGCTATCGCTTCGCGTGACTCTTACGCTTCTTTCTTGCTTAGCAACCTCCCGCGTGCGACATAACTCAATAGTGTACGCTGTGGTGTTAACCATTTGTTAAAATATTGCAATTTCTCTCGAGGTTTGTTTCATAGCAGTTACAATTGAAATTCCATTTTTTCGACATCAATATCCTCCAAGGCAAAGATAACATCATGCAGGTGAATTTGGTAATATCAACTAAGTTGAAATTGTAAATTGGCCACCGTAAAGAGTTAAAAAGCTTTCGTTTCGCGCGTTAGCCCTTTTAATTACTTCACTTGGCTCCGTGATTGTTCCATAAAACTAGCACCACATTCTAAACCAATCAGATTCAAAACCTGAACCAACTGCGACTTAGTCAGTCGACTTTTCCCGCGATTGAAGTAGTTTTTGGGGGCTTGGGGCTAAGAGGTTGGGGTAGAGGGGGTTGGGTTTGGGGTTTGGGGTGGGGGGTTGGTGTTGGGTGATGTCACTGTCAAGACAACAAAAAAAACACTTTGGTTCCTAATTAAGTTCTTTTATTTTGAATATCATTAACGCACATGATTCAGAGAAACAAAGTAACAAATCGGTTCCCTAAAAAGGAACGCGCGTTTTTATTTTACTTCAACTACATCATTTTCAATTACTAAAATGCTTTTTACAAAAAGTGTTTTCTCAAGAAATAAAAAGCAAATACTAAAAGGAAATATTTTAGACTTAAGATAAGCTAGCAGTTCATTCAAATGCCTCGCTGTCTACAAAATCTTGTCAAATTTAATTTGACCAGAAACGTTTACAAACAGGAATTAAGAGGGTTCCCTCTCAAAGGCTGAAAAAGAACCAAATAGACAGGAAAACAAGCAAGAGCGCCTGCATAACACCAGGCTTAATGCCAGCGGTGTTAGTGGGTCTATGAACGCCAAAGGGTGCTTTGGTGTCGGTAGGTTTTTCGATGCCAATGACTGCATTAATACCAGCGCGTTCGCTGATGTCTGTGACGTCATAGCACTGGTCATTTCCGGTCGCCCCAGGGTCCCGATTGTTTGCACAGAAAGGATTGTAGTCAGCGAGGGCCAAGTCCAACACTTCCCGGTCAGCAAAGGAAAAGGTGCAGTCAGAATCTATCAAATTCTTCAGACACTCCTTCTGCTTGGCTTGCTCCCTGAAAAAATGAAGTGTAACAAAATCATTTAACGCATGCCTGTTTCCCTTGTTGTGCAATTTTGGATCTGATACTGCTTGATTTCGTACAGTTCCGGTTTACGAAGCCAAGCCAAATCTCTTCAGTAAAAACTTGCACCACCTCTTGACATGACTCGACTTGACTCTGCGATTTTCTGCGCATGCGTTTTAGTCAGTTTACAGGGTCTTCATAAGAACATTCTGAATTTGTCCTTTAACTCTATTATTATAATAGAAAAAATCCGAGCCCCAAATGGGACTTGAACCCACGACCCACCGTGATCTAGTCGGATGCTCTAACCACTGAGCTACTGGAGACTCAATGGTGAGCAAGGGTCAATTTGTGGGTCTGGACTGGAACCGCATCGCGCGGCTACACAGCCAAGTATTGATCAGCATCACGCTGTCATATTAAAGCATATCAAGACGCGGCCAACCAACCTCCCGGCAAAGTGAGCATGTGAAGATGAAACAATTTTAATATAATATAACATTTAACAATTATTCACCGAAACTGAGGCGAATAATTGTTTCAGTCTAATTTCAGAGCTGAACAACAGAGAAATGTCTAAAATCATAACATTTTAGTAACATTTATTAACTTTTTATTTTAACATTTTATATAAGCCGCGTGGAGCGGTTTATACAGCGTCATATAAGGAACCGCTCGACCAATCAGATTGCTGGAAACTCTTTGCTCAGCTCTGAAATTATACTAAATTATATTATTAGCAAATAAAATAATTTTTTCTTTGTCTTTTGTTCTTGTAATACTTAACCAAGAAGCTTTCTCATTTGTCCTTTTTTATCTTCAATTTTATTCGGATTGTTATTTTTTGCAGACCTTTCATTCAAAATATTTGTGGTGGAATCAAATGTCTGTTGAAATTAACTGATAATGTCAAGCCTTTCTTAACACACTCGGGTATAAGACAGAACTGAGAATGTTTCGATTTTCTACATTTTCCCGCCTGTTCCCATTTTAATTTTATCTCTCAATTTCTCGAGGGGAATCCATTATTCTTCCCTCATCTTTTACATAAGAGAATGGCAAAATTTAACAAATAAGTGAAAACATATTCGATGATGCCGAACGTATATTCAGTAAACGATCAAATAAATAGTACATGAGGCGCAGCGCACGTACACCACGTTCTGTGAAGTCTATTACACAAGGGCATCATGGAGTCTGTTCCATATCATGAAAAAGCATAGTTGTTAAAATTGACTTGATCTATGAGTTTACATCATAAAGAATAAGAGCCAATCCAAATGCCTATTTGATTCAACTTATTGAATGAAAAACAAATAGTCTGCACAAACTCACGCGCAAAGAGAGGAATTCGATTTGTCCGCGACGAATATTTGCCGGAACGTTTTCCCGCAAGCGTTTGCTTCAGTGACGAAAGAGCTGGAACAAGGCAATCTTGCACCTGAAGAAGTCTGTATTTGAGCGGGGCCTTCAGAACATTCTGTGCTGTGAAAATTCTGGTCTACAATTCTTCTGATGCTGCTGTCTGTGAGCGAGTCAGCACAGTACTTGATCACCTTCACCACACAGTCTTTCATTTGGTTGAACTTAGCACTGGAATGAAAGCAAGAAAGCCTTGGAGTTAAAGCAAGTCTTAGGTAAGGGTCTATGGTTATCAATGAGTAAAGCAAGCGACCTGATAGATACCGCAGTATTGCGTTACAGTTGGATGGTACCAACTGATAGATACCGCAGTATTGCGTTACATTTGGATGGGTCGCCTTTGAAAACATCTCAAAAGTTTAAAGCGCGTTAAGTGAACTTACAGACAGTTTCCTTTGGGGTCCTTTTGCAGTCCTTTGAAGAAAAATGTGGTGCATTTTCGAGCACCACAAAAGTACTCCATGAAAGTACAATGGCCAACGTTAGGGAGCGCCTCGTGGCTTCCAACGAGAAACGCTGTCAAAATAATGATCATTGGTAATCAAGAAATCAGTCAGCCGTTCGCTATTATTTTAGTAACTTGCTGCTCGAGTTTTTCTCGAAAACCTACTTGAAGTGCTAGTCTTTCAAATTCGGACACGAACTGTATCTTGGCGTTCTTGCCGATCAGTAACACAAGTTGAGAGAAGCATTCGTGACACATAGTTTGATAAATAATGGTAATTGCAGTGAGTGGAGTGCAATTTGGGCTGAAATCATACGCGGGATTTCAAAATCGAACGAGCGCGCAGCGCGAGTTTGATTTGAAATGACAAGTATGATTTCAGACCAAAATTGCACGACACAAGGTTCAGTTACCACTTTATTACATCCAATTTGAAATCGCCCAAATACAGGACTTAGTCAATTCAAATATTTTACTGATTCAGTACTGAGCCGGTTTTTAAAGAATAAGTGGAACCGGAAACGCTTTTACATCTTATTTTGTATGCAAAACAGAAAGACTGACGTCATGTGTCAAAAATTCAGTCAAGCGCAAAATGTGCGAAAAAAGCAAAAAATGGTGCGATTCGTGAATAAATCGCACCAATTAGAGCCAATCAGATTACAGGGACCTCCAGTGATTTCAAAATGGATGTAATAATAGTTTAAATCGAGCGAGAAGATTAAAGCGTTGGCCGGCTGCACTGTAATATTACTTTCTATGCACTTGATCCCTTTAGGTGTTTTCTCTTATCGATGACTCGAAGAAATCAGTCAGCCGATCGCTATAAATAACTTTAAGGAATGTCAAGTAAGTGATAAGAATATAACGCCCTAGATTATTATCACATAAATATTGTAGAACCTAAGAGCATTAGGGGGGAAGGGGTGGGGGAGCTGATCATTGAGGAGGTTACAGTCTTTGAAGTTGTCCCCCTGTCTCGTGTTCTTCTCAAGATCAGTTCAACGTGTTTTGCTTGGGTTGCGATGAACTGTCCAAACTCTCTCCCCCCTCCTTCGTTATTTTCTAAAACGCTTCGCCGCCTCTGAGGAGTAATTTTATTCGTTAAACTACGTTACTGACCAAGCATACTGTTAAGCACAGAATATTTGCCAATGAGCCGTAACAATGTGGACTTTATCCCACGGATCATTTTTGGTTGAAGTTAGCGTCAATATCCGATTTGAAAGGTATGCTTGTGATAGCGAAGGACGGGTCTTTTCGCACGTGTATCAAAATACTTGAAAAAAAAAAAGAAGATTCTGTACAAATAAAGCACTCAATTTTTTCCGTGCGTTTGGCGAAATAACATGATGCAAAACAATTTTTCAGAGAGAAACTCACGCCTACTTGCACGACCAAAAATGGAGAACGGACACAATAGACAAAGATTGCAAAGAGGCATGATTCTGTGTAATATGAAAAAATATGTATATGTATGTGCCGCAGCTATCTTGGAAGTTTACGTTGACGTCTAAAGAAGTAATTTTACTCTTTGCCCGTCACTGTGCAAGCATGCGGACATGGTACAAGATAATTGAAGAAATCACGTACTCTACATATTACACCACACGGATCCGCGCTTTCAGATCTGTGGTTAATCGGAAAAAACAAAAAAGACAGAGAAAAATTTAAATTACAACTTGTTTATCCTCTCAATAGAAGAGAACTAGACAAACGATGCAAATCAAATCCATCAAACAGGCTGTCGATGATTATGTAATAACTTTATGTACATTTTAATTTGATCGCCCAGTTACAAAAGTTTGCCAATCCTTTTAGTGCGCAGGACATGTGGCAACGCAACCACAAACATAAAATATTTCACTTCGCCATCACTTCTATACTTTAGCAGAGTACCGATTGTCTTGTAGTTACGGAGTATATAGTTCAAAACCTTGTTGAAGAATATTTAATATTTCCAAATCTTTCTTAGTGGTACAAACAGGATAAAAATTGCCCACCTTATTTCTGGGATCAGTATAAATACGCATCACTTCTCTTCCACGCTATACAGTTGACGCTTTATCTGCATAGCAGGTTAAAATCGTAGCATCACTTTCATAAAAGAAAAAGTAGCTCTGAACCTGTTGCACGTATACTACGGAAAAGCGCTATCTCGAGTCATCGATATGAAAATATGCTTGTTAACGTAGAAGGATTTAGTATTGAAATAAAACAGTATTGTAGTATGGTTGACGCCTTAATCTTCCCGCTTAATTCTCGCAGCGATCAAAGTATGCAGAAAGAGTATGTCTCTCAACTTGTGTCGTATATTGGCAAGTTCGCTAACATGCAAGTCTTGGACAAACACAATTAAATGGCCTTAACTTGAAGAGTTCAAAGAAGTGTAGGAGAGAGACGAGTTTAAGCAAATGTCATATAATTGCGAAGAATGTTACCTAAAGAGATTGGAATTGTAGCCAACAAAAACTGAGAAAAGAAGTTGAAAGGAAATCAAAGTCAAAGGAAGGAAGTTCGTGAAAAGGAGCAAAACTGCTCGGGGGAAAAATTAAATAAGAAGATGATGCCTCCGAAACGAGATTAAACGACATCACCTCCATGTGGGAATTGAATAATTAATTTTGTATCTACGCGTTCCGCGATAAAGTTCGGGAAGTTAACTTTAGAACATATTTACGTTAGGATAATACATAAAAGTTGGGAAGAGAAAGATGAACTTACCCACGGCCACAACAAGAAACAAAGTGAAACGCACAGAGATCTGCATCCTCGCTGCACCTTTGCAAATGAATAGTTTAAGTATAACCTAGGTCTATTTATTTAAACAATTTCCTTTTTTGATTTGTTATTGGTTTTCCGCAGTTTTTCTAGGTGACGTCAGCTGACATTCGTTTCTTAGTAAGTAAGTAAGTAAGTAAGTAAGTAAGTAAGTAAGTAAGTAAGTAAGTAAATCTTTATTTTAACACGGAAAATCATCAGTTCAACTTAGGTTAAAAACTAAGATTAATTACAACTGCTTTACATGATTGCCGTGTGGGAATCCGATATATCAGCTAACTTAGCTTGTTGATATTTCTCCTAAAATGTTCAATGGATGAAGCATTTTTTAAGTGTTTGGTTAATTTATTCCATAATATGACCCCGCTGTAAGAGAAACTTCGTTTTAAATAATTGATTTTTGGTTTGGACACATGGGTCAGCCTTCCCTCAGAGTTTCTTACGTCGCAAGGAAAGTGAGATATCTACATAGACTTTGTAGATATTCGGGAGCAAGTTTGTTCATGGTTTTATACATCATTAAGGCTTTTTGTTTCATTCATCAAGGAGATAGCCTCTCCCAGTCCCTCTCCCAGTCGAGGGTGGAGGGAAGGTGGTTTGAGTTCGTATCAAAGGGGAATTTAGTAATAATTCTTGCTGCACGATTCTGTAATTTTTGGAGCTTATCACTCAAGTAGCCACTGGACATGAAGAGGCGGCGAGGCGTTTTAAAAGCAATCAATATTACAATGTCCTTTGTTCTCACACCAACTTTTCACGAGGCACAAGCTAAGCACGTAGTCGTTCCAAAAAACGTCACATTTTGTTGCGCTACGTAGGAAACTTGATGAAACCGATTTCTGAACTCATCAAAAGACTGAACACCAACATAGCGCTAACTCGCCGAAAACGCTTCAAAATGGCCTAAGACGCTCGGAATCAACAAAGAAAACAACAAGGCAATAAGGTAAGCCCATTTTACCTCAAAACAAGACATTTTTTTTCTCTCTTTTAAGGCAAACCGATAACATCCCATACAAACCTTTATAAATATAAAACGTTACGCAACACGGTAAGAGTCACGTCCGCTTTTCTAGTAGTGAGCTTGGGCTGCCTGTGATTTTAGCGTATTGAACTGCTCCTGAGCCACTGCACAACGTGCTTGCGAGACTGATTCTATTTTTAGTGTATTGATCTCATCATGAGTCGTTTCATCAGGATCGTCGGTGTTGTGAAATTATTCTTCTACAAAAAGCTGCCTTACCTCCTTGTGCATCGCAAAAAAATTGATCACAGAAAGATTGGACAATGTTAAGGTTGCAAAGATGTTTCCTTTTGCCAAAAAACTATCCAGCAAGCATTACGGAAAGTTTGAGTAGAAGAAGGTGTTTGACTGGATGTACTTACTCCTACTTCCTTCCTTTCCTTTGACGCGCTGAAAAGCTTTCGCTGCTTCTGAGACAATACCACTCATTGAATTACGCAATTGACCAAGCATATAGTCATGTTACATAATATTAGCCAACGTGCTCTACATCACGCGAATCGATCGCTCTTATGTATATTTGTATATCATTGCTAGAACAAAACTGAATATACGATAAGAATTAACCACCCCCAAAGAATCTTACCATAATAAATTTGCTAATTCTAGTGTGTAGAGGACATGTATAACTCACAAGCCTGAAATATTTCACTTTCCTACCAGTTTATTCCTTCAATAGAGCACCGATTGGCTTGCAATAAGAGAGTATGATGTTTGAAACCTCGTTGAAGAATGCTACTGAATTTCAAATCTTTGTCTGCAACAAAAAACAGCATAGAAATTGCATTCTTTCTTTCCAGGGTCAATATATATATACATATACATCTTGTAAGAGGATTTGTTGTGTAGTATCGCTGGGTATTTTTACGAGTTGTGCCGTATTTATACAAACAACCAGTAAAAATACTCAGCGACACTGCACAACAAAACGTTTCATACGAGATTTATTGTATCCAACACGCCAAATTGTCATTTCAGTGCGGTCGAATTTCGTGGATATTTCTGGAGTACACATTGTTTCTACTTTCTCCAATAAATGAAGAAATTTCCTAGTCGTCTAGCTGTTTTTCTTCGTTCGGTTCATCTAATAAACCTAGATTTACATTTACCAGGCATTCCAACTCCTCGTCGTCAAAAATATGATTCAAATTGTCCACCATTTTTTCCCCTTCTTTACTTGCGTGATGCGAGAAAACCTGGTCCTCTAGAGTACAAATACCGCGTGATATTTGTACTCGTCTATAGCGTTATTTGTACTCTACGGACTGCGGTTGGATAATAAAGACACATCACTTTTCTTTCGTGCTATACAGCTGAAGCTGTATCTGTGTAGACAACAAGCATGTTACAGCCTGCTGTAGGTGTACTGCAGAGAAGCGCTTTTTGGAGTCATCGATAAGAGAAGACGTCTAAAGGGATCAAGTGAATAGTGAGTAAGATTATAGTGTAGCGGCCAAAGCCTTAATCTTCTCGCTCGATTCAAGCTTTTATCAAAGTATACGTAAGGAATGCTTCCGTCACCCTGTTTCGCTGATCGGCAAGAACGCCAAGATACAGGTCTTTCCCTAACTTGAAAGACATGAAATAGATTCTGGAGCCGTTGAAAAACTCGAGCAGCGCGTTGCTAAAAAGATTTTATCTACAGCGACAAGAACTGCATCAAACGTAGTGACAAAAAAAGGTGGTTAAAAACAGTCAGGGTGTAATTATAATGGATCCATAACTAAAGGATCCATAAACGTCGCGACGGAACAACGCGAAAACATGCAAAACTACCAGAAGGATGAAGAAAAATAAAAATACGAAGCCTCCGAAACGAGCCTAAACGAAATCAACTCCAAGTGGGAATTGAATGACTAATTTTTGTATCCGCGTGCACGTGGATTTCGTGTTCTGGAGTACCTTAAAAAAACACCTATGTTTTTAGTTTTCTATAAACGGCCTCAGGTTAGTAGCTGCACAGGCAGCCCAAGCGTACTGTGTGTGACTTTGGGTGTAAAATTCATTAACGGCAATAACTAACATTGAGATCGAATTTCAAGCGTACGTGAGGACCGATAAAAAAGGAAAACTTATTTTAAAAAAATAAGAAAAAATTTAAAAGGATAATAAAAGCGGGGAATAAAATATGTGAAGTCTCCTTACCTTTTTTCGTAGCCGCTTTGTTGCCAACGATCGTTTTAACGCTGTTTTGGCGACTTGCTTTTGTAACGCGTCACCAGTCAACTGTATAATAGAAAAAATTTAAAAAAAAGTTAAGAAAAAATCAAAGAGGAAAATAAAAGCCAGGGATATATCGTATGAAGTCTCCTTTCCTTTT